GAAGCCAGATCCAAATTCTTAAAGATTTCAATCAGCAGGTTTCTGTGACTTATGGAGATTTTTCCATTGTTAAGAAAGTTCATTCCATATTTTGTTCAAGCATATCCCATTTCATACATATTCGGAAAGCAATTGGCAGTTCGAATTGTATTGTCGAAAGGTAGAAGAAACAGCAGAACGAAGAAACAATCGAAAGAAACAGTATAAGCGCGCAACTACTTGGGCCAGCGAAGAAACAGCCCAGCAACAACGCCCTACATGCGCCACTTAAGGTAACCGATGCAGAAGGCGCCAACTAGGAGCTCCCTATTGCTTCGGCCTATTTTTCACTATTACTATTTGTTTTTGGTAGTTTAAGTAGTGATTCCTATGTGGCGTTTCAGGCGTCCGTTACTATGTGTTTTAGAATCAAGCGCTTGAAGCGCCCCGTACTGGGCCGGCGCATCTAGTTGTGTTTTATCCCGCAAAAACAAGTGCGCTGATTGATATTCAAATGATCGACCTCCGGCATATAGTTACGATGGTGTATCCAACGCGCCACCTAGCAGGATCTGGTAAGATTAAACTTTTTCATTCTTATTTCTTATTTCCTTTCTTACTTTTTGTTTTATGTTTTTTTCTTTTTCCTGGTTTGATGAATTCATTGCAAATACGTGAAATTTTTATCCAAATCGATGATTGTTTTTTAAAAAAATCAATGAACTTTTTAAAAATTGATGAACCTTTTTTTGTCAAATTTGTGCACATTTTTGAAAATCCTGAAGTTTTTTTCAATTTCGATGAACTTTTTTCAAATTTGATGATTTTTTTCAAAATTGATAACTTTATTTCAATTCGATGAACTTTTTCCAAAATTGTTTTTTTTTCAAATTTGATGAACTGTTTTCAAAATCGATGATCTGTTTTCCAAGTTGATGATCTTTTTTCAAGTTCATGAACCTTTTTCCAAAATCCATGAATTTTTTGAATTCTAGAATTTTTTTCGTTTTTTTTTGAGTTTTCCTTTTTTTTCTCAAATGTTCAATGTGTACATGGGCCCGTCCACCAGCACCGGCGTGTGTGCGTCTGGGAGCTTCCCTGGCGCCTGGAGCGCAAAATGGGAGCTCCCAATTTAAGTACTTGTTTTTATTTCAAAAAAATAGGTGACAAACAGGGGAACTTTATGAATGAGTGTAGTTACAAATTACGGCCATAAAAGTCTGCTACAAGATTAGGAGCATCCTATCCTACAACCCCCATTAGTTGTTCCAATCTACAATGTCCTAGGTTGGATCTGTCGTCTCTCTCTTAGGCAGTCAACCAGCTTGGCGCAGTCAGACTGAATGACACAAGGCTGGGTTATTATCTGTAGCATTAGTTTAACGGCTTCCTTCGGGATAAGACCTCCGCCTCAAAAGCATACTACACTAAAGCAAGAGCGCACTAGATGTTGCGATGGAGTGGCCGATGTGGTCATGAACGATTGCTCTAATGACTACACTTCCATATGTGATTGATCACTCCAAGCGTGGACTGCGAGTTTGCTGGTTTCTTTCTCGTTTATTTTTTTACCGCGGTTTCTATTTTCTGTTGTGTTTATTTCTTTTTCATTTCCTGTTTTCTTTCCTTTTATTTTTATTTTTTCAAATAATTAAACTAAATTTTTTATTTAAAAATAGGTTCCTTCTATGTTTTTATCGGTTTTCAAAAAATGTTCACCATGTGTTTCAAAATCGTTCACCATTTTTGAGGAAATATTCATCGCATATTATGAAGGATGTTTGGTGTGTATTCAAAAATTAGCATCCTGCATTGAAAAAAAAATGGTTCATTGTGCATGTAACAAATGTTCATCGCGTTTCATAAAATGTTCATTGTGTATTTAAAAAAATTATCATGCATTTTTTTAAAATGTGTATTTATAAGATAATTCGTCTTCTGTCTGAAAAATGTCCATATTGTATTAAAAGACCATCGCATGCTAGTAAATTTTCATCTCGTATTAAGCAAATGTTCAATGCGTATTTTTGGAAAATTTCTCCATGTAGTAAATTTTTTTGCGTGCAATAATAACTGTTCACTGTGTAATTCAGAAAAAGCCAACATGTATTTTAAAAATGTTCGTGTGTATTTTAAGAAAAGGTTGCAAATTTCAAAATATTCATTGTGTACCTAAAAAGGGCAACATACATTAAAAACGTTCAGCATGTGCTTCAAAAGTTTAACCAAAATTTGAAACTAATTACCATGCATTTTAGAAAAATTTAACTGAATCGGGGGACAATTATACCGACGGCGTAATTACAACAGCATGCCAAGTCAGTACCTAGTCAGATGCGCCTAATTACAATACCACCAGCAAAACAGCTTCAGGTGTGACATGAAACCACTCAGGGCTTGATTTGGGGGTTCAAACTACACTTCTTTCTAGTATATACGAGGCGGCCTTAAGGAACGAGCTACTCTACTGCTCGCTAAAAGCAAGTAATAGAAGTTGGCACCCCGGGGCTATATCTGGCAGCAGGCGAGATATAGTCTGGCGTCGCCAGCAGCTTCTGTGCCTATGGTCCAGCCAAACACTGTCCTTTTATAGGTTATTCCTTTCTCTTTCTATTTCCTTATTCATTTGTCGCTTTGCTTTTTATGGTTTTCTTCTTATTTTTCTTTTTACTGTGTTTTCCTTTTGTTTCTCATTGGTTTTCTTCACTTTTATTTTCATTTTTTTATTTCATTTTTTGTGTTTTTTTTATGGTTGTCATTGGTTTTTGTAAATTCCTTATTCTTTTCTCGTTCTGCGTCTTCTGTTCATGGTTTTCTTCTCTTTTCAGGGGATGTTTTTATTCTATTTTCCTCTATATGTGGTTTACTTATGGTTTCATTGGTTTTCTTTTTTGGAATTTTATTTTCAGTGTTTTTTCATCATTTTTTTGTTTTATTTTATTCTATCTTTTATTTTCTTTACTATTTTCGAAAACATGCATACTTTTTATCTATGTTGTATATTTTTCGTATACAATAGGGTCATATTTCGTATAGAAGTTTAACATTTTTTTCAAATATATGTTTTAGTTTCTACATTTTTTGTACATGTTGTGCATTTTTTATCCACATCGAATGTTTTTTCCTAATATTGTTTTGTCTATTTTTTCACACATTATATATTTTTTCATATATAAAATGCAGATTTTAGACACGTTTAAAAAATTAAAATAAATGTTTTTTCTAAAATATATGTTTTGATGTCTACAATTTTTCATATGCATTGCACATTTTCCACATACACCTGAAGCATTTTTACTACATGTCTAATTATTTTCAAAATATGACTAATAGTTTCTCAAACACATGATTTTGATCATTTTTACGCATGCATGTTAACAAACTGAAATACACATTGAAACATTTTTTTTCTGAATGAAACGGTTTTTCTTTCTAAAACTACCGGAACATCTTCTGGAAATGACACAAACTTAATTTTTGAAAGATATGTAATTCGAAAATATATTAAAAAAACAAAGGATCTAAACGAATGTAACCTTGAGAAACAAAAACAGTGGAGAAAATCTAACAATCTTATCTAGGAACCTGGGCCGGCCCCAAGGTCACACCGACGATGCTCTTATACAACCGCGAGAGCTATGACTCGCTTTAAACAAGAAGGGTGGATCTCTTGCATCGAGGGGCTAGAGTACCGGGCCGGCCTGTTAGCGCATATTTTCAGAACAAAATATAGTTACAAATGGTGCGCGCGAGTGGTTGATCTTGGGATCTCCCCGATTCTTCGAGGCACTGCTAGCCAGTGCGCCAGCATCGAGTTGATGTACAACAAGTAGGGCGCGACTTACTAGAAAGAAACAGAGTCGGTTTTCACACTAGTTCATTTTTTTCCTGTTTTTACTGGTTTTTCTCTTTTTTCTCTTCATTTATTTGGTTTTCTCCGGGATTTTCTTAATTCTTCTTTGATTTTTTTCTTTTGTTTCATTCATGGTTTTTCCTTGTTTTTCTTTTCTTACTCATTTCTTGTTTTATCCTTTGGTTTTTTTGTTTCTTTCTTGGTTTTCAACGCTTTTTTTGTTTTCTTTTTTTTCTTTTCTTTTTTTCTTCTCCGGTTTTTTGTTTTGCTTTCATTCTTTCCGCATTTGTTTCTTTGGGAGGTACACTTTCTCCATCAATAATACCTAAGTTGCCCACTTTTTATACAAATGTGGATAGGTACACTTTCTACAACATTATTTCGTGTTAAACTTTTAGTTTAATACTCCCTCCGGTCTATATTAATTACCGCTGATTTAGATAAGTTGTAGTAAATCCGTGAAAGTTAATATTGATAGGAGCGGATATAATATGTCCCAATAAGCAAAGTACTGTTTCTTGATGCTAAGAGCCTAAGATTAATATGAGTTTCCAATGTCAGAGAGAAGAGAAGCACATGCTCTTTCAGCGCAACCACTTGTTGCAAAAAAAAAAAAAGCAAATTCATCTTGGCCTCTTGTCTGCCAATCACAACAAGATTTCCAAGTCAAATGAAATAAGATAACAACACAAGACACAAAACTACACACAACACGAAGGAGAAACGGTCATATCAACATGTGGAAAACTTAACCTTGTCCATGTACGGCGTCCTTCGTTCTGCTCCATATGTCGTGGAGCTAGAACAAGTTGTCTGCTGGTGGATCATATACTGTACCATATACGATTTGACATCATCTCTCATCACATCTGCTATTACCAGCTCCGTTAATGGACCCGATCAATCATGGATCACATAATCATCATCGATCATGTCACGCGCTCGAGAAGAACGGGTCCACGGCCGCCGGCCGGTCACCTTGTCACGTCGACTAGTGGGCATACATATATGGCCACAAAGCCACGAGATTAGTGTCCATCACAGCACGTCAACGCATTTCCATTACCCACCTAACCGAGATATCTCTACCTAACCCTGTCATCAAGCTCGATCAACAAGTTTTGTCGAGAAACAAAAGCTCCATCAACAAGCATCCGTCGCTCTTGATATGCCGTCGTCTCAGTGCCATCGGCTGCTGGCGGTGGCCCTGGTCTCTGTGCTGCTACTGTGGCGACCGGCCGGCGCGGCCGAGTACCCGGTCGGCGACGGCATCAACGGCTGGGACACCGGCACCAACTACGCCTCATGGGCGCAGAGCCGCTCCTTCGTCCCCGGCGACGTCCTAGGTCAGTATCTCCATCAACCTCGATATATAGCCAATTAGCTAACTCGCCAGGCGCATGATTTGATTCGATCGATTAATTTGGGGGTGGCTTGGCTGGTGCACGCAGTGTTCGAGTACGTCAAGAGCCAGCATAACGTGTACCAGGTGACGGAGGCCGCGTACCGGACGTGCGATCCCTCCGCCGCCGGCTCCGTGCTCGCCACCTACGACACCGGCTTCGACAAGGTTCCTCTCCCCGAGGCCAAGAGCTACTGGTTCATCTGCGAGATCTCCGGTCACTGCATGGGCGGTATGAAGCTCGCCGTCAACGTCTCTGCGGGCTCTCCCGGAGGCGGTGCACCAGCGCCCGACGCGCCGCCCTCGCCGTCAGCCAGAGCCACGTACCGGAGCAGCTGGGTGGCCTCCGCCGCCGGCTTGGTGGTGCTAGGCGCACTGCACGTCTTGGTCAACTGAGCTAGCTAGTTTGACCTGTTCAAAATTCGCTCCTGTATGCTACTAGCTGTTTATTCTTCCGTCCTTCTCCATTTTTTGTATTTAATTTATGATTTTTGGCGGATCAATCATGATTCACAGATACAACATTCCATTCAATTGCAGCCGCTGTTTGACACAAACATTTGCATGAAATTTGCATCTTCAATTGAATTTATGCGGCAAGTTTTTGTTTTCCACCCTATCTATCTAGCTCTGTTCAACCACAAATCTTCGTCATTTAAGGTTTTAACGTATGCAAAACAAATGCCAAATCCAGACAGTGCAAACTCCAATTACTATGTTTACCAACAAAAGTTTCTCCCACTGTCAATGAGATGAGAAGTTGCTCTACAAACAAAGGTGCAAAGGTGCGCGCTGGGATAACATGATAGCCGTTCAGATAGTGCTTCCATTACATGTCAAAAGTTCTTTTTGTTGCTTAGTTCTAAACAGAACAAACCCATTGCTTACCACAATTTGACAGTTGTCTAAGTAAAAAAAAACATCACCCCACAAAAAAAAGTAAAAAAAAACATGTTTAATAAGTTTAACGCATTCGTGGCGGCAGCATTATTAATATTATGAGCATAACAGAGAAGGAGGACAATGGTGGTAAAAATACGAAAGTGCTATTGTGAGCTCAAGCTCGCATGATCTTGAGTGAACAGTAAATTCCAAAAAAATATAAACAACATTATAAAAAATCTGAATGTTTTTGGCAAGAAACATTGATGATTTTCCTACACTCATGCAGATCTTCCGATGGAACCACATTTGTGGAGGTGTGGAGAAAAACCAAAGTTGATGCTCTGAGAAGAGTGCTTCTTGAATCATCAATTTTGTTTTTTTTGGCCACACTTCCACAAATGTGATTCCATCATGAAAAGTACCAGGCATGTAGAGAAAAAACATCATGGTTTCTTATAAAAAAATTCCAGATTTTTTGTTGTTTTCTTTTTATTTATTTTTGAATTTTACTGTTCATCTAAGCTCAGATGAACTTGAGCTTACAAACTCCATGTGTGTAAAAATAATGTATTTTTTTGGTGGGGAACTTAGAAAATGGTGATGATTGTGATGGAGCGATAAGCCACCGGTGGTTGCTGAAAGTGGCATCAGACAATCCAGCACGTCCCTCAGGATAAAGAACATTAGCAATGCACTATGAAAAAGCTTAATTGTGTGCCCAGGAAAAATGTTTCCTCAAGTGTGCGCCTACGCGCACACACATACTTGTAGATAAAAATGGGGATTTGCCGGTATTTCCTCTCTCTTTCCCCGGTTGCCCATCTGGTATTAATTATGTGCCCCAAGCATGATATATTATTGGTCGTAGTTTTTGTTGGAGTTGTGTCGAATATAGTGTACAAGGTAGGTTACAGTTGAACTTGTAGTAGTATTGTGTTTAGATAGGATATGGAGTCGTGTCCTAGTAGGACACTTGTATCCTAGGTCTCTCATATATAGCAGGGCTAGACACACGATGTAACATATGCCAACATAATAGCACCGGCGCGCAAGGGGAAGCCGGCGGCGTGTGCCGGTGCCCGGGTGGCCGAGGTGCGGTATTGTGACGGTGTCACGGGGAGGAGCGCCCGTAGTCATGCCCCGGGGATGTAGCCATATCGATGAACCTCGTTAACAAATCTCGGTGTCGTGCTCGTGTGATTGCTTGGTCCTCGGATGATTGACAGTATGCCTCGGATTTATTCTAACAAGTGGTATCAGAGCTAGGTTTTTCAAAGGCTGCGGGTCATTGATTTAGAGGAAGAGCCGATGGAAGAGAGATCAGTTTGATTGAAGCTACAGTCGAGGGATCGCGAGCATGAAAGCTCGGAAGAGATCGATATCGATGGGAGGTGTGAAAATCGACAGGAACTCAGAAACTTCTCGGCAGTAAAGGCAGTCAGCGACTGGCTCGCGTAACAGCGGCGGCGTGGGCACGAGGCGCTCGCAAGGAGATGCAGGTGGCACGCGCCTGGAGTGTGGTTAGAGCATCTCCAACAGCCGCGCTACGCGCCGCGCGCTAAAAACTAGTTTGCCGTGCGTCGTTTGCCGTTCGCCTGGTTTTGCGCGGCCGCCCGCGCTGGCTCCAACAACCGCGCTAAAATGCAGCTGATACGTCTTCGTCGTATCTACTTTTCCAAACATTTTTGCCCTTATTTTGGACTCTAACTTGCATGATTGGAATGGAACTAACCTGCACTGACGTTGTTTTCAGCAGAATTACCATTGTGTTATTTATGTGCAGAAACAAAAGTTCTCGAAATGACCTGAAACTTCACGGAACGTCTATTTGGAAATAATAAAAATTCCTTACAAAAGATGAAGACCAGGGGGCCCACACCCTAGCCACGAGGGTAGGGGCGCGCCTGCCCTCCCAGGGCGTGCCCCCTACTCGTGGGCCCCCTGGAGCTCCTCCGACCTCAACTCCAACTCTATATATTTGCTTTTGGGGAGAAAAAAAATCAGAGAGAAGGATTCATCGCGTTTTACGATACGAAGCCGTCGCCAAGCCCTAAAACCTCTCGGGAGGGCTGGTCTGGAGTCCGTTCGGGTCTCCGGAGAGGGGAATCCGTTGTCATCATCATCATCAACCATCCTCCATCACCAATTTCATGATGCTCACTACCGTGCGTGAGTAATTTCATCGTAGGCTTGCTGTACTGTGATGGGTTGGATGAGATTTATCATGTAATCGAGTTAGTTTTGTTAGGGTCTGAGATTGATATTGCTATGACTTTCCTATGCTTAATGCTTATCACTAGGGCCCAAGTGCCATGATTTCCTATCTGAACCTATTATGTTTCCATCAATATATGAGAGTTCTTGATCCTATCTTGCAAGTCTATAGACACCTACTATGTGTTATGATCCGGCAACCCTGAAGTGACAATAATCGGGACCACTTCCGGTGATGACCGTAGTTTGAGGAGTTCATGTATTCACTATGTGTTAATGCTTTGGTCCGGTACTCTATTAAAAGGAGGCCTTAATATCCCTTAGTTTCCGCTAGGACCCCGCTGCCACGGGAGGGTAGGATAAAAGATGTCATGCAAGTTCTTTTCCATAAGCACGTATGACTATATTCGGAATACATGCCTACATTACATTGATGAATTGGAGCTAGTTCTCTGTCACCCTAGGTTATGACTGTTACATGAAGAACCGCATCCGGCATAATTCTCTATCACCGATCCATTGCCTACGAGCTTTCCATATATTGTTCTTCGCTTATTTACTTTTCCGTTGCTATTGTTACAATCACTACAAAAACCAAAAACATTACTTTTGCTATCGTTACCTTTTGCTACCATTACCACTACTATCATATTACTTTGCTACTAAACACTTTGCTGCAGATATTAATTTTCCAGGTATGGTTGAATTGACAACTCAGCTGCGAATACTTGAGAATATTCTTTGGCTCCCCTTGTGTCGAGTCAATAAATTTGGGTTGAATACTCTACCCTTGAAAACCGTTGCGATCCCCTATATTTGTGGGTTATCAGCAGCGTGTGCGCGTTGCTCCAGCAGCGCGCAAAAAATGCAGCGTGCGCGACTCGCCGGGGCATTGCATATATGACATTTTGGACACAAAATGGATTTGAAAACATTCAAAATGCAATGAACATGACATATAAATTTTCACACAAACAAGTTGATAAATAAAAGTTCATGCCCACAAGTTCAAAATCATGCCCACAAGTTCATCCAACCAAGTTCAAAATGCAATAGTCGTGGAAGCATAAGATTGGCGAGACGACAACGATGCTACGATGGAGATCAAGGTGTCGCGCCGGTGACGATGGTGATCATGACGGTGCTTCAGAGATAGAGATCACAAGCACAAGATGATGATGGCCATATCATATCACTTATATTGATTGCATGTGATGTTTATCCTTTATGCATCTTATCTTGCTTTGATTGACGGTAGCATTATGAAATGATCTCTCACTAAATTATCAAGAAGTGTTCTCCCTGAGTATGCACCGTTGCGAAAGTTATTCGTGCCGAGACACCACGTGATGATCGGGTGTGATAGGTTCTACGTTCAAATACAACGGGTGCAAAACAGTTGCACACGCGGAATACTCAGGTTATACTTGACGAGCCAAGCATATACAGATATGGCCTCAGAACACGGAGACCGAAAGGTCGAGCGTGAATCATATAGTAGATATGATCAACATAATGATGTTCACCAATGAAACCACTCCATCTCACGTGATGATCCGACATGGTTTAGTTGATTTGGATCACGTGATCACTTAGAAGATTAGAGGGATGTCTATCTAAGTGGGAGTTCTTAAATAATATGATTAATTGAACTTAAATTTATCATGAACTTAGTCCCTGATAGAATCTTGCTTGTTTATGTTGATTGTAGATAGATGGCCCGTGCTGTTGTTCCGTTGAATTTTAATGCGTTCCTTAAGAAAGCAAAGTTGAAAGATGATGGTAGCAATTACACAGACTAGGTCCATAACTTGAGGATTATCCTCATTGTTGCACAGAAGAATTATGTCCTGGAAGCACCGCTGGGGGCCAGGCTTGCTGCTAGAGCAACACCAGATGTTATGAACGTCTGGCAGAGCAAAGCTGATGACTACTCGATAGTTCAGTGTGCCATGCTTTACGGCTTAGAATAGGGACTTCAACGACGTTTTGAACGTCATGGAGCATATGAGATGTTCCAGGAGATGAAGTTAATATTTCAAGCAAATGCCCGGATTGAGAGATATGAAGTCTCCAATAAGTTCTATAGCTATAAGATGGCGGAGAACAGTTCTGTCAGTGAGCATATACTCAAAATGTCTGGGTATAATAATCACTTGATTCAATTGGGAGTTAATCTTCCGGATGATTGCGTCATTGACAGAATTCTCCAATCACTGCCACCAAGCTACAAGAGCTTCGTGATGAACTATAATATGCAAGGGATGAATAAGACTATTCCCGAGCTCTTCGCAATG